GGAACAGTAGACCTCAACACTGAGAAGATCTTATTCGTATCTCAGCCAGGTCCGTCAGTTAACAGAGTTATCATAGATAGACCTGCCAGCTCACAAGGTTGCCATAACTTCCTTGATCATTGCATCCACTTGTTCACCTTACCAGAAATGAGGGCAGGCAAAGCCCACTCTCTTTGACTTTATGAAAACAGTTCAACATACCTTTATACATCTGAAAGTCTAAAAGAAGTAAAGGAAAAGCTAACAGAACTGGTCTGCTGACTCCATCACAAAGTTCGAGGCAGAAGTTGGTGACACTATTGGAAAAGGCCAGAGAAAAGAAGGTCCGGAAGAGGGACAACAATGAGAAATAATGCAGTCGTTGCACCCAGTCTCGAAGTCACGTGATTTCGCATAAAAATTTTTCCGATAACAAATTGTTTTTGGGTGCAACGAGTGCTAAGGGTTTGTTGAGTTCTTGGGATACTGGGCTGGACGACTCCTCCCAAACCAATGGTGTTTAACTTTGCGGGATAGTGAGGATCCTTTCTAAAAATCATTAAAGTCTTTTTAATATATTTGATCTTTTTAATAAAAAAAATATATATATAAATAATATCAAGGAAATTGATGATAATATTTTTCATGAAATTATACCTTCTTTAATATACTAACAAGTGTACTAAAATAACAATAGAAAGTCTTGATTAATTTGACCAAATTTTTTTATCGTATCATCACACCTTGGTACGTATATTAGAGAGCTCTTTGCTGTAGGTCACGTAACTTTTAAGTTCGTGCCTCTAGATATTTCTAAAATTAATATATATACTCGTTTCTTAAAAAATATATATTTATATTTCCTTAGACAAACAGTGAAAAGAAAAATTATAAAAATCGACTATGGGCTAGAGGAAGGGGAAGAGACTAGTGGGAAAAGGTGAGAGAGAGAAGAGAAAGAAAGTGAGGATAGAGGGTTTTTATATTTACATCATAAAATTTTTCCATAAAAGATGACTCATAATTATATTCGCGTCGTGTATAATTATAATTAGGAAATTGTAACTGATCAAAATCACAATTTGAGGTTCCGATTTCCGCAGTTTTAGATATATTAGTATTTGTAGTATTTGTTTAACAAAATTAATATTTGGTATACATTGTACTAATTGTAGTATAAACAAAGCTTGTATAAAACACAATAAAGGTGGCTGATTTCGGGTTGTCAAAAAGAATTGGATTGGCGTCCAAACAATTAAATCTATTTGGAATAATTCCTTACGTCGATCCAAAATTTTTTAGTAAACGAAAAAATAATAAAAATTCAACACAATTATTCTCATATAATGAAAAGAGTGACATATTTAGTATTGGTGTATTGCTATGGGAGATGTCTAGCGGGAAATCTCCCTTTTCTACCGAAGAATATGAACAATCTGCAAAACAAGGATTTCAAAGTGCTCAAAATAGATTGAAAAACTTAAAAAAATAATTCATGTAATATAAGAGTTAATTTATATATTTGTTTTGTATTTTATAATATTTTTATTACAATCATATGTGTCTAAATTGTAAGTTTAAAATATGATTACAGTTTTTTGTTTGAACTATATATGATCCAATTCAACGATTAACCTTTCTACATTTTAGTGACATAATGTTAATTTAGATCTATCAAATGTTTCGAATTGGATTTATTCTAACCTATAGTATAATATATTCGGCTTTCTCCGTTTCCTTCAGAAAATTCGCGAAACGAAGGAACCAAAACCTTGCTTTCGATTTATTTATATCCAGTTCCTTCATATTATTCGAATTTTAAAAATCGGATTTAAATCCGAAGGTCGAATATAGGTTCCAAACCCTATCTAACAAACAATTTTTTCCAAGCTTCATAATTGATATTAAAGATTTTGTTGCAGTTCCTTTTAGAATAAAATGCTGTAGATTCTGCAATTAAATGACCTTTTAAAATATAAAATTATTTATATATTATCGTTATACATAAATACGTTACACTTTTTTGAGCTTTTATTATCAATTTACTAAAAGGGCAAGTCCTAATTAGAATTAAGAAAGAATTTAATCAGAAAGATAAAACCTTAAATGATAAAATAGAAAGTGGAAGATGCAAAGCGACTTGTATTTGCTTGTTTTTCTTAATTAATAAAAATTCTTTTTTTTTTAAAAAAAATTTTGCTGTTACATTATTATCCTAAATTTCCCATATTTCGTCATCTGGTCTGGTCATTAGTTCAGTTTAATTCTTTATGATAATACTATTAGCAAATTTCATCATGATGAAAGAATATTGTTGAAAAGGTTTCATAATAAAAAAAAAATAGAAGATCTTTGATGGATAATTTTAATGACGTTTGATCAAGTTAATTGTAAAATTCGCTATAAAAAAAATTCATGTAAAGGCGGGCTATAATATTAAGACACAATCTACAATTAATGTAATATCACGCTATAGACGGACCCGTCTTAGTTTTTTTTAGTTACTCTTATATCTATTATAATAAAAAATTATTTTCTTTTTTATTCCATTAATAATTGCTTTTAACAAAATAAGTTATTTAAAATTTATTTTATTTTTAATTTCCATGTAATGAATTTAAAATAATATAAAATACTTTTACCAACAGATTCGATGAGCGGTCACATGATTAATATTGAATAATTTCATGAAATTAATTTTAAATTTCACAGTCTTAAGAAACGAGTACATCTAAAGCTTTCTTTTTAGAAATAACTGAATCAAAATGTTTGTTTGAAATGGATATTAATGTTATGAGTTAACCATGTCAAATACTGCGTCAATAACCATATTGTCATGCATGATATCTTCATCTCCATTCAATATATTTTCAATAATTAATATAAATTAATGGGTATAAAACTATAAATCGTTAAATGGAATATTTATTATTTAGATTTATAACGTAATATAATATCCTAGCCCAAATAAATTAATAAATTTCGGAAGAATTATTGAACTTATGATCTATTCATATGATACAAATATTTTCGTTCATTTTAAGTTATTATTTTAATAAAAAAAATTTAAGCACTAAAAATATTTATTGTGTTTCTGCTAATATAATTGCATATTCAGCTAATCATTTTTTGGATAGTGTTTGTTTAATATTTCTTTTACCGTGTCTAAAAATAATTTTTTAACGTCATTTTGTTTAATTTGTACTACTACTAATTTTATTGCATCAAAGATTTGATTTTCTTGACATTTCTTTGTTCTTTCTATAACAATATCTGATAAATTTTGCCAAACATTAATCCTTTGACTAAGAAATGGATGCACAAGTTCTAATCGTTGAAACATTAAAAAAATCAAGTCGCTTTCGTTTGATGAGTTGAGCTTGTCTATAAAGTTTTTAAACCAAACTAGGCAACATTCTGATATTTTTTTCTCTTTAGTATCTGTAAGATCACTACGGAAACAATCATTTAAAATTTCTGGAAATAAATTCAATATCTCCAAAGTATGTGACTGAGATATTAACTCTAATAATTGAATAACTTCATCTTTACTCCAATGCAGACTATCATTATTTAGAAGGTTTACAATGGCAGTAATATTTTCATTCGTCCATTTCCTGTTTGAACCTTCAAGTAAGAACAAAGTATGAGATCGAAAAACTTCGGACACATCATATCGAAAATCTCCTGGAAGTCTCTTAAAATGGTATTCCAAGGCAACAGCATCATCATGGGAGACACACTTTCGAATTTGGTCAATAAAATGCTTAAAGATGGTTCTATCAATTTCGTTATTATGAAAAAGCACATCATTCCAAAGTTTTAAGAGAGAGTCCATATTGTGACATAATTGGATTAACCACTAAAAAAAAAAAAATTAAAAAAACTTTAATACGATTTAATTAAAATCAATTAAGTCAAATTTAAATTACTACCTTTGTAATCTTGATGTAAGATTCAAATTTAATGTTTTCATTATAAGGTTTAATAGTTTTACATTTTTCAACGAATTTTGCCAAGTTTTCATCAGAATATTTTAAGGATTTTAAACGATCAATGAAGGTATAATTGGGATCAATTTCATTCGCAATTATAAAAATAATGAGCCAATCAAATTTCAATTGAAAAGCGTTATGATGAACTAGAATCATAATAGCGGCATACATTTGATCTTCTGTGTCTAAAGGCAAAGCTTCTTTTTTATGATCTTCAAACGCATTAAGTAATGATCCAGATGGAAATTTATTATCCAGTACATCATTTGTTCTCTGAATGTCATATCCCAAGAGAAGACATAAAAATTGTCGCTTTTCTTTAAGTTGATCATCACTATGACGTAAAATGAAATGGCGCCGTGATGCGATAATAGTAAAATTATTGTAGAGAGTTAACAAATGTTGATATTCCAAAATTTTATCTTTAAGGTTATCAGAATTGAGGGAATCATAAATATAATCTACAAAAGAAAATCTATTTATTTTCCATATAGCAAATTGGCTGCTTCTATTAAAATCTAACGTGCGATTGTCTAGATCGCTAGTTCCTTCGTATATAATAACTTCTTTTTTAAGTGACGACTTAGGTACATAAATAGCATATTTGTAGTAAATATTTCTTTTATCAACAATATTTATAGTGACAGGATCAGATTGCCAGTAAGTTGGATCATGAGGATATGGTTGACGAAGTTTTACAATGGGGGTTCTCCACATCCCCAATTCTACTACACCACCAACAACTACAGGTTGTTCAATTTTTTCAATATTCTCTGGTAAATGAACGTTAAATATAAATTTATTATTTTCCATCATTAAGACGAAATGGAAAATATATAATAAAAAAATATGTAATGTGGTTACACATGTTTGCGTAACATTATTACGATAAATAATATGAATCATATCCAGACTAAACCTGCGATGGATGATCTACGTAATGAGGTGATCCAAATTCAAAAGAAAACTTTAATATAACGCGGAAATTATTTTTTTTTTTTTCCAAAAATAATACTGGCATGGTGAACTGTGGGGTCTCCTCGATTTGGTAATGTAAATATTACAATTTAATAAAAAATTTTTAATGAAAAATTAATAAATTATTTATTTTATATCATATTTATTTTTTGAAAATTGCTAGGCGATTATCGCCTGGGACCTCGATCACGTGACAGAATTAATATTTTGATTGGCCAGATTGGCCACATGATCGCGTCATGTTTGTTTATCGAATCTCGTTTTTAGTATAGGTTCGTTTCCTCAGTTTTTTCGGTCTCAGTTTTTTTCGGTCTCAAGGTATTTTTCTTTTCTTTTATTTTTATTTCTAACTTACATTCTGCTTACACTTTGTTTCTTACTACTCTATTTCATTATTTTTAGGTCCTTTAGTCCTTCCGGTTCTGCAATTAAGGTTCAGTTGTTTTTCACTTTACGTTTCGTTTCTTTATTTTTTTATTATTTTTATTTTGTTACTGTTTCATATTTCGGTTTTCAATAATTTTATTTCATTTTTTTTTTAGATATTTTAGTTCTTTCGGTTCTACAATTAATAAAGGTATGTTTTTTTATTTTTTATTTTATTTTTTTTATTTCGTTTCTATCTTATATTTCGTTCCTTACTAACTTCAATTTTTTTTACTTTATGGTTTTATTTTTTACTTGGTTTCCTATCATTACCCAACCTCCTATCATCATCATTTTTTTATTTTTTGTATTACTTCTCATTATTCCATCCTTTCGTCTCCCATTATTTTCTATTACAACTTTTCATTTTCTATTATCTCTTTTTCTCTCCTGTTTACTTCCCATCATTTCCTTTTGCCTCTCATCACTCCTTTTCGTCTTCCATCAACTCCTCTTCATCTTCCCATCACTTCTTTTCGTCCCTCATCACTCCGTATCGTCTCCCCTTACTCCTCTTCATCTTCCCATCACTTCTTTTCGTCTCCAATCGCTCCTTTTCGTCTCCCATCACTAATATTCGTCTCCCATCACTTCTTTTTGTTTCTAATCACTCCTTATCGTCTCCCATCACTCCTCTTCGTCTCCCAACGCTTCTCTTCATCTTCCTATCACATCTTTTCGTCTCCCATCACCCCTTTTTACCTTTAATCACTCTTCTTCGTCTCCCATCACTTCTTTTTGTCTCTCATCACTCCTTATCGTCTCCATCACTTCTTCTCATCTTCCATCACTCCTCTTCATCTTCCCATCACTTCTTTTCGTCTTCCATCACTCCTTTTAATCTCTCATCATGTCCTATTTCTCCTTTTTGTTTCCTATCACTTCTCATTACTCTTTTTCATCTTCTATTACTTTCCATTACTCCATTGTTGTTTCATTTTTTTTATTAGCATCTTTCTTCTTGATCATTGTAATTTACTTATCTTTTTTATTTATTGTTATTGTTTTTTTTATTTGTATTGCTTCATTAAAAATAAATACGGTGATTTTTTTCTTTAAAATCGTAAATGTGTGACTTAAATTTTAATATTTGCAAATAAAAATAAAATTTCATTAAAATAAGATTTATTTTGAATAAATGTGTTTGCAAAAAATTTTTTTAAAAAATATCTTCGCAATAAAATTTTAAGTTTAACCGATCAAAAGTTAAAAAAATCAGCCATCAGCCGATTTACTATATATTGTACATCATGTGACATATTTGAAAAAAAAAACCCAGATGATCGCCCAGGCGACAATCACCCAGGCGAGGTTAGCAATTCCCTTATTTTTTTACAGTTGAATATCAAAATTGGAGAGTACATATGCTATAAAGACAATAATGGAAGAAATTGGGACGTCTTTTAGTTATTTTGAATGATGATAATAGCTATAAATTAAAGGTACAACGTATACTAACTTATAATGAACTTCCAAGACAATTTCAAAGCAATTTTTCCATTACTTAGTGCTAACTTACTCATGAATTCAATTGGCATAGTACCATCCCAATTCTATTTAAACATCTAAATGACATTGGATAAAAATTGAAGTTTCTGCAAAGTATGAACTGTTTTATTAGGCTTTCATAATAGGTATTTTTTAACAAATCTCTTATTTAATCAGTCAACTCTTGAAAAATATTGATTAGTCTCGAATTATTATTTCTTTTTTTTCAAATCACGTGGGTAGCTTACAGGTATATGTTGCGCAGATACGTCATTGAAATTAAGTGACGTTTGCTGATAAATCCGGCTTCTATTGCGAAGAGTCTTCATGGTATTGCAAATAAAAAACTAAGTGACCCGAGCAATGTAGTCAAATATTTTTCTCGTGGCGGTTGGTACAATCTTTTAGACCGTACATGCTGATGTTTTATTGCTCGAGCGTATATGCATGTTAATACAGGGTAATTTAAGAAATCTGGATCGGCAAATTATTGAGCTAGCAATATGATTGCCAGCGGGACTTTTATTCTCGCATATTCTCAAAATTATTACGTATATTATTGTCCTTAATGATCTTTATATATGGATAGCAGTCCCGTTGATCAGATTTTCGTGATGCGATCATATTAACGTAATCCCCCGAAAGCGTAAAACAAAATCGATCCTGTGAATTATATAAAAAGGTGATGCCTGGTTAGTGAATCCTTTTATCCCCCTTGTGCAAGTAAAACGAAAAAATCAAGCGAAACAATATTATTTACATCATTAATATTATCATTCAAACGAACGAGTATACTCCGCAAAGTAATAATAAAGTAAGTTGGCTTATTGCTCGGCTAGTTTCTTTAAACATGTCATCACGATGTTAATCGATTTTCCCGCCTCTTAGATGTTCCAAAATAAACCAAGACATATTACTTCCTCCGGTTCCTCTTATATATCGGCATTTTGATCTTCGCTGAAAAAATCCTTGATCACCTTCACGCGTATAATAAGCGCAGTGAAATAATTAGCTGTATCACGAAAATATAAAATTGCTGTGGCTTTCCATCATCTGATTTCTAGCATCAACAAAATTTGGCACAGTATATCATCCGGCAATGGCATCGATGTTTGGCGCAGTATCGAACTGACGATAAAAAAATCAAAATATTATGAGGTGGTATGGAATGTTATTAAAATAGTGGTAAGCGTGAATTGGAAGCCCTCACCTTGCTTTATTCTTCCTATAGGTTCGAAATCATTTCATCTCGGGGAAGTTCTCTTGTGGGAAATAATCTATTACATAGTCTATGAGTGGGAGTGATTTAGATAGACGAAAATTCTGTATATATAAGTGGTGTAACTTATTTCGAAATTCTAGTGCAGAGAAAGATTTCGCTGAATATTATCTGAAAAATATAAAAACGTTAATAAAGTTTGCTTCTTAACTTTTGTAAGCATATATGTTAAGCGAATAAATTCATTTTTGCGAATCGCTATTGCAATTGAAATTTGAATAACAGAAATCTTTGTAGAAATCGAAAGAGTCGGTTCACGATAGCAATATGGCACCACACTGTGGAACAGTACAGCAACCCATCACCATTTTTGCGAAACGAATTACGTCGTGAGCCCGCTCCTTAGCACAACACCTACGAGCAGTCTGGGGAGCGAACATCCCAGTCCCCGCAGGTCTTACAAGGCCAGGATACGCCTGTAGAAAAGCAGGTAGACTGAACACACATAATCATAAAAAACACTTTCCTCCTGAAAGTATCGTTTTACTATTGTCAAGATAGGGACTTCTTATCGAGCTGTTACAAATAAATCAATTAACCGTTCACTAGTGCCGAAGAAAAGCCCCGAGTTCGGACTATCAATGACGAAAATTAATAACGTAAGTTCATCTACATGTAACGCATTTTAAAGCTTTTACTTTAGATAATACATATTTATTACTTAATCGATTAAATGAATATACTTTTAAAGGATCACAAGAGGAAATGAAAGGTGAATATTTAATGTTTGATGAAACTAAGAATAAAAAACACAACAACATTCGGAATAGGAAGATATAAATGTTGTGCCTCAGATTGATTCTTGCCTCAGATTAAAACTCACGCTGCGTGAGATCAACACCAGATCACGTGCATTACATATATGGTAATTTTACTATGTAGAATGTAGATCATCACGTGTATATACATAATTCGTCACATCCTATTGGTAGTTTTAATCTGAGGCAAGAAATCAATGAGGCACAACATAAACAACCTTAATGCAAAAACTAAAACTTATTTCATAATATAACACGTAAGTTATTTTTTGATCCTATTATTATAATAATTGCATATTTTAGTGATGACCCAATACCATTCCCGCTAATTAAGATTTAAATTAGTTACTTTTTTTAATAGATTAAATTTTTTTTCTTTATTAATTTATTTAATAAATAATCTATTTAGTACATAATTAGTTTTAGATTACTCCTTTTTAATTTAGTGGATAATATACTTTTAACAGACTCTTGATCAGTGGCTTGTTATTACGCGATAAATAGATGAAAATAAGATTTAATTTAATGATAAACATTGCCATATACTGTATAGTATTACAATCTCTGGATTTTCAAATTTTGTAACAGGTAACAATTTAAAGGTTAAGTTCGCTTATCTGATTATCTTACAATATACAATTGCAGATAGAGAAGCTAAGTAATAATTTTTTAGAATTTTAATGATATTCGAAATTATATGAAAATATAGTATAAAAAATAATAAAAATAGTATAAATATTAAATTCAAAGTTACAAGCTGCACCGCTGCGTTCGAGATGCATCTTCTTTCACGTGATTGAATACAAAGTGATTGAAAAAAAAAAATAATATCACAATAAGCGGAATCAAAAATTCTGATAATGACGACTGCGGCTTAAATAGTATTGTCCACATTCAAATATTAATTTATCAGTTAATAATTATCGCTTTATTAAAAAAAAAATTGGTCAATATATATGTTGAGACAACTAAAGTCAAGAAATTATAATCTGTTATTACTCGCTATTAAATTATTGGTATCGAAGGAGTTTGATTTTAATTTTTCTATTCTTCTTTTTTTTAATTTCCCTTTTCTTTTCTTTTTTTCATTTTTTTTCTTCTTTTTTAGGTTTGTCTCTTGACTTACCTTAAAATTATTTGTAGTTCAACAAGGTGAAAGTACTCCTTTGAAATAGTGAGAACGAGCACGTACAATTACCGAATGAGCACGAAATTATTTTCATCGACTTGAATCAGCATCATTTAAGGAAAGATATTGGAATAGGATAATGATGTCATTTTAAGAATAAAGAGATTACAAATGGAAAAAAGTTTTTCATTGAATGATTTATTATTGTTTATTGTGAAACTTAACTAGTATTTAAAAATTATTGATCGATGAGTTTTTACTGTATATAGTGAACTGCGTATGATCAGCAGCAGGCCTATCCTATGTTTGTATTGTACAAGATTCTCAGCCTTTGTGAAACTAAGTATAGTATATTTAATCATTTTTTGTTTTTAATTTATCTTATTTTATTTTTTTTTTTTACGTTCTCATAACGAAGGAAGGTCGTATGGAAAATAATACATTATCATTCACATTTCATATTCTTTTGCCAGAGAACATTGAAGAAAATGGTCAGCCCGTAGTTCTTGGCAATGTAAAAGAATTAGGATCTTGGAATAATCCTATCGTAAAACTTCGTCAACCATTCCCTCAAAATCCAACATATTGGAAATCCGATCCAGTTGCTATTTCGGTATCAAATTTTGGAAATGTTCAATATAATTATGCTATTCATACACCTAAATTCACGTTATTTGGAAGAGAAGGAAAAATTATATTTGAAGGAATTGATGTTCAAGATAGGCGCACATTGAATATTAAGATAACTGATCAATTTGATATATGGAGAATACGCGGATTTGCCTTTGTAGATTATATTTACGATTCTACTGAGGTTAATAATTTTAAAGATAAAGTTGTGGAATATCAACGTTTATTAATTCTTCATAATGATCTAACGATACGCGCGTCAAATCCCAAATTTATTATCAATCGAATCGATAATAACCTTAAAGGAAAACGATTATTTTTATGTATTCTCTTAGGGTATTATATATCAAAAAGAGAAGGTTCTCCTTATGTATTACTTGATAATTTCCCATCTAACTTATTACTTAATGCTTTTGAGGATTATAAACAAGAAATTTTACCTAAAGACTCCAAAGATCAAATGTATACTGCTATCTTAACTTTAATCAAGCATAATGCTTTTCAGATGAAATTTGATTGGCTCATTATTTTTACAATCGCTTCTGAAGTTGATCCTGATTACACCTTCATTGATCATTTAAAAGCCTTAAAATATTCTGATGAAAATTTAACAAAATTTATTAAAAGTTGTAAAATGATTAAATCTTATATTGAAAACATTAAATTAGAATCTTACGTTAAAATTGCAAAGGTAAATTTAGTTTAAAATTTTTTGTCAAATTTTGATTCAATTTGATTTTAATTAAACATTTATATATATATATTTTAGTGGTTAATCCCATTATGTCACAATATAGACTCTCTTTTAAAAATTTGGAATGATATTCTTTTTCATAACAACGAAATTGATGATAGTCTTTTTAAGTGTTTTATTGACCGAATTCAAAAATTTATTTCTAATGATGAAGCTGTTGACTTAGAATACCACTTTAAAAGCCTTTCAAAAGATCATCGAAACCGTAGTTCGGGAGTTTTCCGTGATCAAGTTATATTTTTACTTAAAAATCCAAATAGAAAGTGGACATATGAAAATATCGATGCTATTAAAAAATTATTACATGATAATAGTCTAAATTGGCAGAGAGATGAAATTATTCAAACATTAGAGTTAATATCTCAGTCACGTACTTTGAAATTATTAAATATATTTCCAGAAATTTTAGACGATTGGTTCCGTAGTGATTTTTCTGATACCAAAGAAGAAAAGATACCAAAAATTTGTGCAATTTGGTTTAAAAATCTTCTCTCCAAACTCAATACAATTACAAACAATAAAAATGATAGCAATTTTATTTTTTCGGTATTTCAACAATTAGATTTTATGTATCCTTTGCTCGGTCAAAGAATTAATATTTGGCGAGATTTAACAGCAATTGCCATAGATAGAGTAAAGGATTGTTCAGAAGATCAAATATTTTCTGCAACAAAATTAATAGTACAAATAAAGCAAGACAATGTTAAAGAACTATTTTTAGAGATGGTAAAGGATATATTAACTATTCAACAAACTTATGATCAGTTGTTAAACAAGATACGCATTATTTGCGATTGCAAAACAACCATGACTTTAGACGTTCCAAACATGTAAGTTTTTTGTAATAATTTTTTGCTTTTAATATGTTATTGTTTTAATATTTTTTTTTTTTTATAATTGTTAGGATAAGCGAAGACATTTTATATTATATAATGACTTATTTACAAAAAGCATCTAAGACTTCGGGACACCATAATACTATTTTAAAATACAGCAACTTTTGGAATATTATATTACGCGCTACTGGAAGCGTCACAAAACTCAACTCAAACCCATTTATGAAAAATATTAAAACGTCTATTAACGAACTCGCTGGATTACTTATTGAAAGGACGATTGACCTAAAATTATTACAACAAATTTTAAAATATGATGACGAATATCTTTTTCGACATTTTGATTCGGCTGTTCCAAAAAAGAAAGCTTTAGGAGATGTAGTTGTTTCTAGAGATGAAATTGAAACACTTAGAAAGGTATATGATTATTATCAAATTAAACTCGATATGCTTTCCAAGTTTTATAGCAGATTTTGTCCATCCGAGAAGGTAAAAGATGTAACGAATTATATTCGAGATGTAAAACAGAATCTGCAAAGTTTAGATAAAATAAAGGCGAAACAAGTGTTCTTATCGGATCATTGGGCATTTCATGAGAAAACTTTAGACAGTGCAAGAAATTGTTATAGATTTAATCGATCTCAAACTTTTCGAAATATCTTCGATTCTTGTATTAAAAAAGATGCTGCCGCAGTAAACGTAGAATACATAGCACAAAAATTAATTCCAAACGTTTTTATAAAGTACAATGCTATTTGTAAACAACTTAAAGATTGGGAAAAGCTCAAATGCTCAGAAGCAACTTTGTTTTGGAAAAATGTTATGGATATTAATGTAGAACTTGATTTGATAAAAGACTACAAAATCTCTAGAAGTCAAAAATTTATGCAAACCCTTGATTATGTTATAAAAATTCCTCATTGGATCCAACGACTTGAAGAGCTAGAAAAAGTTGTGGAAATGAAAGTTTTCAAAATACCACATGATGATGATGATTGGTTATCAAAAGCAATTAGTAATTTAAAAGGTGATTCCATGAAGCTTGGGCAAATAAATAATTTCTTCGATTGCCTTAGTAAAAATCTTTCAGATATCAATCATGATTGTTGGAAATTGATAAAAGAATTGTCAAGAGCTGAAGAATTTTTTAGTTTCATAAAGAAAATTGCCGAACATGATATTAAAAATTTGATTAATGGAGTGGATGATAATTTGGATGGAAGATTGATTCAAGAGAATACTATTTCATCTCTTATTGAAGTTAAACAATTTTTATTTCCTCTTATGAATAAAAATATGGAATCTATTTCTGATTTGTTAAAAGAATTACTAAATATCATTAAGAAGAACCATACATTAGGAGAAAAGATTGCATTATGTAATGGTAACAATATGGCATTACAAAATATTTACAATAATATTCAAAATCGTGAAGAAGTAACTAAAGAAAAAATCAAAAATGCTGTACTTAATGGAACCTTTACATTTACACGTGACCGAAAAGAAGACAAATGTTTAGTTTCTTTACAATATCCCTCTAAATTTAACGTGAAGTATAATTTAAAGGAAATTTTAGATTTACGTGGACGAGCTCTTTTGATTGTTTCAAAACCAAAAAATACTGTTGTGATAAATAACAAAGAGACAGAAATGTTTAAAGATGTTATAGATAGATTCGTTACCCAAGTTGATGTTGCACTAGAAATAATTAGCACTGTATCCATGTTAATACAAATTGGACATTTTGATTTTATAAAATTTGAAATTAAATTACAAGGAACTGATATGAAAGATTATCTGGAATTTTTAAAAGAAGAAATTAAGAATTGGTAAATTTTCTATTTTCAATTTTTTAAACGTTACGAAACTTTTTTTAAATTTTTGTAATTGCTTTTGTATTCTTCCAAGTAAATTGATATAGTTTAATTTTTGCAAATTTTATAGGCAAGATGTAATAGATCGTGCGCAGGAAAATTGTTACTATTTAACGTTCTTTACTGCTCGTCATGTATTGTCATTTTATGATTATTTCACATCGGAAAAATCAGATGAAGAAAATGAAGAGGAATGCAAAACATTGATTAGATTTGTAAACAGCAAAGCTCAATTGCCATCTCATAAGGATATTCAAGGAATTTCACGCGAATCTAAAGATTATTTCAAAGTTCTTTGCGAAATTGGAAATGGATTAGAAAAAATTTTTACGAGTATTCCAAAACAATCACGTAAACTTAAAGCGACTGGACAAGGCATAATTATAGATCTAGTTAGGAAGGGTGAATTATTTGTCGCTTCTTATACTGACAAAACACGAACTCCAAATATTATCATGTCATTATATGCTAATTATGGATCTTATCCCGAACCGTGGCAACTTTTGATATGTACTACTTCAACTACGATGGAAGAATTAGCAAATTTCATAAGAAGAAGTTTATTCGCATCGAATAATGGATATGAAAATCGTTTATTTTGTATTGCAAATTTGGAATCGTTAGATATTGAATTACAATATTATTTTGTAGACTATGTTAAAAAAATGCAATTGAAATATACAAATGAAAGTTACCTTTTGGCATTTCTATGTTGTCAACAAACTGGAAGATCTACTAATTATATTTTAGATCATTATTCTTTAGAAGTTCGAGAGATTGACGAATTAAATGTAGCAACATTGCAAGAAGTTTATCAGGAATTGTTTTCAAATATAACATGTGTTTCTTCCGATTTATCCGGCCAAGGGAAAACTGAATGGATTAGAGAAGTTAGCCATTCTAAACTAAAAATTCCACTTTTCTTAATCAGCGATAATATGGATTTTAAATATCTTGCAAATAAACTTAAAAAATGCAGCCTCTCACAGGAACAAAGTTTACATATCAATATTTTATCAGCTGATTGTCCTGAAGATGTGAATTTATTTTTATTTGAATTATTGACTTTTAAAATAATTTTACATGATAATGTAATAGTCTCAATTCCTGCTGAAACTTTTATTTTTATTGAAATAGCTTCTTCAATAAAACATAATTTGCTTAATATTCATCCTTTTATAAGTTATTTACCTTTTAAGCATTTATCTTGGAATATTAAAGACTTTAAAGTGTCTCAAATAATAACAAGTCCGATTCAAGTTGTTTGTTACTTTTTGAATTTATATGATAATGGAAAAGTTGATACAGAAGAAATTTTCTCTGAAGGAACAGAATTTATCGAAGATCCTTTATCAGAAGAAGTATGCCAAAATCTTATTATAAAATATTTTTTGAGTGAAAGTGGCAAAACTAAATTGTCTTTTAAATATATTGAGATTTTTGTCAATATTTTAGCGGATCAATTAATTAGATTCTCATCAAATAAGGATTTCACACTAAACAATTTGATAGGAGAAACTAGCGCCAATATCGCTAATTCCAGATCAACAATAATTAAGTTATTATTATACACCTCAAAAGATTTAGTAATCCAAACTATTAAAGCAAAGTCAGACCAACTTAAATTTTTAACTATTAAATATGAAGATGAGATTGTTCGATCTTATGATTCAAACGATTTCACATCATTTTTTGATTATCAAAATTCTCTCTCATTATTTTATCATTGTAAAGATAAAGTTCCCGATAACATTAAATTATTGCTAAAACTTCAGTCACCTGGTGATGGGGAATTGGCTGATTTTAGTACAAATATAGAATTAGAAACAATATTAAAGGAACTTCCTAATTATGCTGTGACTATGGATAATCAGATGAAGATGGCCTTAATTCGTTTAAGAGTAAAAGCAAACATTCCAGTTGTGATTTGTGGTGATGCAGGATGTGGCAAGGCAAGTTTCACTTATATTACAATTTGAGATTAAAAACAATTTTGATATTAATAAGATTTTTGTTGGGTTATTTAGACAAGTTTAATTGCCTATTTGGCATTGGTTGTTGAAGCTCAATTCTTGACTCTTAATCTTCATGCTGGAATTGATGAAGAAACTATTATGATATTTATGAATGATGCTTTGAAAAAAGCAGAAAAAGATGAAACGTGGATATTATTTGATGAAATAAATACATGTAATCATTTAGGATTACTTGCAGAGTTATTATCTAATAAAAAATTTAAGGATAAACCTATACATTCAAATGTTCGATTATTTGCTACATGTAATCCATACCGTCTTTGTACAGGAATTCAAAGTGAGGCAAGTAAAGATAAAAGATATGATGAAAATCAAATTAATCTTGTTTATCAAGTTAAACCACTTCCTGATCAAATTTTGAATTATGTTTGGGATTTTGGTATTATAAAATCAAATTATGAACGTAGATACATTCAAATTATTGTTGAAATGGAATTAACAAATAATTTAGCACATCCCGTATTTTCTGAACTCTTATTTGCTTCTCAAAATTTTATACGAAAAGTAGAGGAACCATATAGTGTTAGTTTACGTGATATTAAACGAGCTATAACGTTGGTGAAATTCTTTTATAATTCCCTTGGGAATCGTCCGGCTTACGAAGAGGAACATAAATATCCACCACTTGGAAATCCAACAATAATAATTAGATCTTATATTTTAGCACTTAGTATTTGTTATCATTCTCGATTATATAATCAAGACTTACGTAAACAATATCGTTGTGAAATGGAACAAATATTACGAAATCACGAAATTTATATAGAAGAAAATATGTTTTCTAAAATTATTTGTGAAGAACAAGAGGATTACATTAATAGAATGCAATGTCCACCTGATGTGGCAAATAATGAAGCTTTATTAGAGAATGTTTTGGCTACGATTGTATGCATTTTGACACGTATCCCTTTGTTTCTTATAGGGGCTCCTGGTTCTTCAAAATCTTTGGCAATTCGCTTAATAAATTCGAATTTACGTGGATCTGGTTCGAATGATAAATATTTTAGAACGTTACCACAGATTTACTTAATTCCATATCAATGCACTTTATCTTCAACTTCAGATGGTATAATGAAAATTTTTGATAAGGCAAATAGATATCAAAAAACGGCCTCCAAACAATTTCCCATTGCTAGTGTTGTTTTACTTGATAATGGTTATTGTCACTTTAGTTAATCTTTTTTTTGTTATTGTTTTTTTTAATTGAAATTAACCAAATTTGTTCGTTATGATTTTTAATTTATTAGTCGATTTGGCTGAAGAAAGTCCTTTTAATCCATTAAAAGTACTTCATTCTCTACTTGAACCAAGCTACCCGGCTACAGAACAAGCTGTTTCGGTGATTGGAATATCTAATTGGCGTCTAGATATTAGTAAAAGTAGTCGCGCATTAATTGTTCAAAGGTATCTTTGTAATTTGTTTATTTTTTTTGCAAAATTTTCTTATTAACAATTTTTTTTTATATAGGCCACAAATTAATTTAGATGATTTAGTCGATACTGCTGAATGTTTATTAAATACAAGAGCTATTGGACATGGACAGAAAGTTGCATTAGAACCTTTAGCTAAGGCATATTCAAATTTTGAAAAATATGATCAAGCTTTGTCTAACTTCCACGGACTTCGTGATTATTATGCACTGGTTAAACGGCTTTCAATAAACGAAATGACTCCAGAAAATATTCAAATGGCATTGGCCCGTAATTTTGGAGGGACACAAAATCATGTCAAATTATGCGAAAAATATTTTGGAAATGTTCTAGAATTATTTAATAATCATAATTCATGGTCATATAAACAAATTCCAATCGAAAAATTAATTGATTCAAATTTAAATGATTCAGATGCACGTCATTTAATGATTATTGGTAAAAGTGATTCAATTGTAAATTTGTTAACTTATCATTTAAGAAAAAGAAATTTGGATTCAGTTGTAATTTTAGGATCACAATTTCCTAATGATCGGAATGATTACTCTTATAATGTTTTAAATAGAATAATGGTACGTAAATAATTTCAATTATTTTTCATCTTATTCATTATATTTTTAATCATACATATTTATATTATTTATATTCTTTTTTTAGATGTGTGTCGAAACAGGCAAATTATTGATATTAACAGATTTAGAAATTATTTATGGTAATTTTTTGATTTTATAATAATTTTATTAATAATTTTACAGCAATGAAACTATTATTAATCAAAGAAATAAAATCTATTTAAACTTAATATTAGGTAATCTTTATGATTTATGGAATCAAAATTGTATTGGAGTAAGAGATAAGGAAAAGATTAATTACTTTACACGTGTTGCGCTTGGAGCCTATGCTTATCCTATGTTGTAAGTAATATTTGAAAACTCAAATAATGATTTTTTAAAATATTTTCAAAAGAAAACTTCTAATTTATGTTTTGTTATAGTTATGTTTCGCCAAATTTTAAATGCATTGTTGTTATGGATGAGAATAATTTAGCATCAGTCGATCCTTCGCTTCTTAATCGATTTGAAAAACAAAAATTATCGATAAATGACATGCTTGATGATAGACAAAAGTTGCTTGTAAAATATTTATACAATTGGACAAATCAAATTACAACTTTGGTTAAAGCTAATTCGATGACTGGCTTACATAATAAATTCGCCCAAGAGGATTTATTCATTGGATTTGATAAAAATGAAACTTTACAAAGTTTAATATTTAACATTACAATGAATAACCCTGAAGCTAATGATAATGAGATTTTAGAAAAATGCAAAGAATCACTAATTGCAATAGCGTCTCCTGATGGAATTATAAGAGCAGAATTATCAATTTTGGATCAAGATGAAGTTGATCGATGGAAATATGTTTATTTCAAACATCATCATCACAATGGCCTTTTCAATTATTTTGACGCTTTATTTGATCAAGAAAAATTATCTGCGGATTCCAAAGGACAATTAGTAATTATAAACACATTTTCTAAGATAAATATAAAATTTAAATCTTGTTTACAAGATTATTTAAAATGCCAAGTATATAATTTATCGACCATTAAGACCGAAGTTCAAATAACAAATGTAGTGAAAAATTTCTTTTTTGAATCAAATGATAAGGTTTTAATTCTTCAATGCGATATTAATACTATTAATACTAAATGTATCAAGTTAGTAAAGTATATTATTGAACAGTTTCGAAATGAATTTTTGGCTGAGAAAGAGAAGTGTGAATCAAATATGCCTATTAAATACGCATGTATAATATTTCATATTCAACGAGATTATGAACCAAGTTTGATAAAATCTAACTTTATTTGCGGATGGAATAGAATTACTATTGAATCTTTAGAACCACCGGAAATACCATTAATAGATCTACTGGACAAATCTTTACATGATATAATTAATTCGGAACTTTTTGATAAGATAGTTAATTCAACGATGCCGTTTGAAAGAATTTTAGAGGAATTATTATTGCAAGAACATTATCATTCTAATGAAAGTCATATGGACCCTATTAGGTATAATTAATTTATTTTTCTTTGCTTCATTTCGTATTATTTCAATTAATTTAATACATGATATTATTAATTTCTATAAAATATTAAGGAAAGAAATTTTAAATGACTCTCATATCATGAAATGTATAAAAACAAAAACGTTCGAATGGATATTAGGGAATTACAAAAATTGGCAATGTGGAGCAGCTCTAAATAAAAAGGATTTATCAATGTTTACTTGTTTTTCAATAGTACTACAAAATTATATAAAAAAAATTATCAAGCATACAATTTATAAGATCTTATATTCAATTGAAAAATTACCGGAAATTGAAAGAATTTTCAAAAATGAAAGTAATGAAAAAGAAGTCGTTCATCTATGGAAACAATCCTTTATAGATAAAATAGTTAAAATCAATTATTTATTTGAGCAAAGGTTATCAGTAGTTCCATCTGAAATGATTGAATTTCCTTTTTCATATTATTTTCTAATTAATTATTATAAAAGGTATTATTATGAAGAATTGGATATATTAACACAAGACTCCGAAAATATTCAGGAATTAATTGAAGATCATATCGGAGATTTTAGAAATAACTTGATTTTTATTCATCCAAATTTTGACAATCTACAAAAATGCTCAGAATTATATTATGATGATTTTATTAGAATTATTTTATCAACTTATTCTATAAAATCAGCTAGTAAAGAAAAATTGGATTTTATTTTTAGGTATTTAATTGGAGATAAATTTGCTGATGATCCATTTATTCTTCATATTTATTGGTGGAAGTATGCAACAGAAATTTTAATTCAATTGAAATTAGTTGAAACATTTCCAGATCTTATTATTAAGGCTCAAAATGATTTCATTGTATATGGTAAACTTGATCGATTTCTTTTCAAAGAATCAATTAACTTGATTTTACAAAATATATGTGATGATAAACCATGGAAACAAGATATGGATGTCATTTTATCAATAAATAATTGTAAAATTGAAAATTTAAAGAATTTTTCAAATTTGAACCTATTATTAATATGTAATGATTTATTAAAAATTAATTCAATCCCATTAGAAAAAATCAAAGAAATTATTTATTTGGGAAAATCCGCTAATAAGCAAGAATTTATTACAACTGATATTATTAATTTAGTATTTAGTGATTTAGATAATAACAATAATATAATTCCTATTACATCATTTATTACAAGAAGTCTTAAACTTATTTCTTTGGAATCAGAAATTCGTGGAACTCTTTATAGAAATATATTTTCACAATATTCTTTCAAACTGATGAACGATTGTATAATTGAAAAAATATTTGAAACCGAAATCCAACAAAACGAACAAATATTTTTCATGATAATTAAGAATCCTGAAGAAGCTTTACAACTTTCAATTAGATTAAAAACTATCAATGATAATATTAAATACATCAACTCGAATATGGCTGAGTTTTGCTGTGAAATAATTCAAAAGATTTTCAGTAAATTTAAACTAAATGAATTGTTACCTTATTTCAAGAATTCAATTGATTCACTTATGAAACAAGAAAATTTGCCTTTGCAACAAATAACTTCAATTGCATTTCTAAAAGAATTTATAAATAAATACTGGAAAAATTACTTCCAAGAAGATAATTCTTTATCTAAATCGTTAATTAAAGAAATTAATGATATTATGAAGATTAGTGATGTCCAATCAATAAATTCTTATTTCATACTAGATTTGTATAAAAAAAATTCTTTTAATATAAAGCAATTTGAAATATTAAAGAAAGAATTTATATGTTTTGAAAACCAAAAGTTTATTGATATAGAAACAAATACCAACACGGAAATGAATTTACTTCCCAAACTTTGGAAACCAGTTAGAAAAGTAGATTTTAAAGATTTATATACTTTTTATATTGCAAACTTAAATGAATATCCGTTTCTTTCATTATTTTTTAAACATTATAATAGATTAAAACTCATCAAGTATCTATATCCAATTATCAGATTTGTGAAAATTCTAAACTCTAAACTTGAATACCATTTAACTAGAGAAGCAGCTCAAATTATGTCATTTCATGAATTTATTAAAAAAGAATCAGTAGATGAAAAAGAATATATTAATTTGAAATCTTTATTTGAAGAATTTGCTTTTGGCTGGAATTCTGTTATTAGTCATATTAATCAATATCAATCCGAAGTTGACAAACCATTTATGACTCTTGATCTTCCTGTGATATTTGGATTGGTTGAACAAAAAGATGGTGGAGTTTATTTATGTGCAATTGTGGAATTTTTAATTAAATTACATAATGAATTTTTAAATGATGTTATGGCTATTCCAATTGAAAAATGTAAAAGTTTTAACTTTATAAAAGATTTTTCTTGGAATTGTTTGAATTCTAAAATATATTTCACTACATCAACAGTAACACAAACACAAGAAAAGAATTTTATTAATTATGAATGGAGTGATAAAATTTTAAAGTATAATCAAAGAAATCAAAGAAATCTGAACATTGAAGATAATGTAGACTTTATATTTGATTTACAAAAAATTGAGATAAAATTGGCAAGAAAATTGATTCTCTATAAAATTTATTTTGAAATGGAAAATAATCAGTTCTATTTAAAAAATTTTTCATTTATGCATGAATTATTTCATAATTCTTCAAGTATTCTTTTTAATATTAAAAGGTTCTTGCCACAAGAACCTATCTTGGCAGATAAAATGAAAATTGTATCTTCAATGTTTCAGAAATCAATAATTTTAAATAATCCATCCAATTCGATTAATTTATCTGAATTATTGTTACTTTTTGAAATTATTCTTTGTTTCGTTAAAGAATTATCGATTAAAAATAATAATATTCTTATCTTAAATTTAGTTAATCAATGGCTAAAATTAGCAAGATATAATGTAACATACACAGATATATTTAAGGAATTTTCCTTAAAACATATTATTGCATTTTATGAACTAATTGAAGAACATGTGGCTAATTCTGTAATTTGTGACATTGATGATAAATTTAAAATTCCATTAACACAATATATAATGGATTCAATTAATAATATTATAGATTATCATAATTCAGAAAATCAACAACTTATTCCTGCTAAAGCATTTGTTCTTGCTTTAAAAAGATTTATTTATAGATATTTATTGATTGATTCAAATATTGAAAATATGAGCTTACATATATATTTCTTGGATTTTACATTAAATCTATGGATTAGTAATATAAAAGAAGAATTAATTAAAGAATTATTTCCTACTTGTTTGTTAGTATCTCATGCTTATAATAGTTATGTATATTTACTTGATGAGATTGAGGTATGTACTATACACTATATAATTATTTAATTCTTTTTTTAATAATAATCTAAGATTAATTTATTAATTTTAGAAAGCATCAAATGAAAGGCAAAATAGCAGAAGCTTTGCATATACATCATTAACAACAACTAGGAAAACATTAATTAAAAAATATAAAAAATTTACTGATTAACTTTTATTTACTTTATCTTTTAAATTAGAAGACATTAAAAAGTTGTATCTATTGTTGTTTTTTTATTTTAAATAAATTTTTGTTATTTTATGAATATTATGCTACTAAAAACTAAAAATTTATGTCTATCCTAATTTAAAAATTTATAAATGATATTAATTATATATTAATACTTGATTTTGGCATAATGAAATTTGTAAATTGGAATTAATTTGTAATTCTTTGTAATTATATATCAGTATAAATGTATAATCTAAAATTATTATTAAAAATATTATTATATACATCATATACTTTGCAGAAACCTTGAATTTTTGCAAGGTATCGTTATATTGTTACTAAAACATACATAAAATATATTTAGTGATGATCCTTTTTTTTTAATGAATTGTTCCGACATTAATCCAGTATCGCAATGGGATTTCACATGACATTTAGGCTGTACCAAAACAATTCTTTTTATAATATTGTTAATTCATCAAAAATATATAAAAAAAAAGCATATTATAGGTAGGGATCGAAAAAGATTTGATTAAAATCAAAACTATCAAAAATTGATAAGAATCGATTTTAAATCGAATCTTGAATAAAAATCGAATCTACTTATTGTGGCGCAGTTTTGTTAATTAATGACTGTAAATTATTATTTGTTCATAATAGTTTATAAAGGTGGATCCCTTAATTTTAGCCAAATTCATAATTCTGGCCATGAATCACATGACAGAACACAAACTTCCTAAAAAGAAAATTTTATCTCAATAAAATTCAAGTTGCTATCGCACAAGGTTGTACAAATTTCCAAAAAAGGAAATTTGTTCATCAATCACAGTTAATTTTGTAATCACGTGATATGTGTTTAAACACCTCTATTATAAATAGTATAAAAAAAAATTGGTGATTAATCATGATTAAATCGAATTCTAATAATAGGAATCAATTCCAATTCCTAATTATAGGTATTGTCACAGTATTTTAAAAATATCAAAAATATCTTAAAATTTTGGGAAAAGCTCCTAGTATTTATATATCATGTGATATGCCACCAGTTTGATCTTTTTTTAATATGAACTATTTTTTAAATTTTTTTTTTAACTTCTTTCACTCGCTTTTTTCTTTTTAAAATAAACTTTTTTTAACTTTCTTTATCTCCCTTTCACTTGGTCTTTTTAAAATATTTTTTTTTTACTTTTTAACTCCCCTTTCACTCGCTTTTTTCTTTTTAAAATAAACTTTTTTTAACTTTCTTTATCTCCCTTTCACTTGGTCTTTTTAAAATATTTTTTTTTAACTTTTTAACTTTCCTTTCACTCGCTTTTTTCTTTTTAAAATAAACTTTTTTTTAACTTTCTTTATCTCTCCTTTCACTTGGTCTTTTTAAAATAATTTTTTTAATTTTTTAACTCCCCTTTCATTCGCTTTTTTCTTTTTAAAATAAACTTTTTTTAACTTTCTTTATCTCCCTTTCACTTGGTCTTTTTAAAATATTTTTTTTTTACTTTTTAACTCCCCTTTCACTCGCTTTTTTCTTTTTAAAATAAACTTTTTTTAACTTTCTTTATCTCCCCTTTCACTTGGTCTTTTTAAATAATTTTTTTTAACCTTTTAACTCCCCTTTCACTCACTTTTTTCTTTTTAAAATAAACTTTTTTTAACTTTCTTTATCTCCCCTTCCACTTGGTCTTTTTAAAACAAATTTTTTTAACTTTTTAACTCCTCTTTCACTTGCTTTTTTCTTTTTAAATTTTTTTTTTAACTCACTTTTTCCCTCCATTATTTCTATTTTACTTCCTTTATTTTTCCCTTTGTTCCTTGTACTCTTTTCTTTCCTTTTTTCATATTTTGTTTGATAAAGAGTTGGAAAGTACCCATAAAAAAAATCAAATTCTATAACATTATAAAGTTTTATTTTTATTTTTTTTTAGGTGGCTTCTGGACGTGACATTTCATAAGTTTTTAAAGAACTCTTTTTTCTTAAACATTATTTCATAGATTTTCTACTTTTTTTATTTTAATTATTATTTTGATCAAACGTTCAAACATTTATTACACTTCTTGCTTCTCTTCTCTTTAGACAGATTGTGTTTCAGTATTTGGTTGCATGAAATCCTTTTTTTGAATATTTCAGTTTGCTTTCTTTTAGATGGGTCTAGGCACACGGAATTTAGTTGGATTATTTTGTTTTTAGGCAGCCAGTTTTTTGATCCCTGGATCTTCTTAGACATGTTGGTTTTTGGGTAATATTTTGTTCTTTTTTAATTTGTTTATATTAACAAACAGGTATTCATACTTCATTATTTTTTTCTTAGATAGCCTCTTCTGGTTTCTTTTTACAGGATTTGGGAAGTTTTTTTTTCATTTTTCTTTAATATTATTGATGTCTAAATGAAATAAAATGAAGAATGGTAAAGGCGAAACAAAGTAGTAACTGCACAAAGAAAGAAGAAGAAACTTGGTTGCAAGGAAGAGAAAGAAGAGAGTAGTGCAATAAGTTTATGATAAGTGAAGTCCTTAGTAAGATTGGAAGCATATTTTGTTAAACTACTACTAAAAAATAGAAGTAGGGGAATAGCAGGAAGAAAGTAGAGAAAAGAGAAAAGAGGTAGTAATATAATAATGGATACATCTATTTGAAGGAAGCAAAAATAAATTAATAACTTCAATTCTTTATCTGCAGGCATATCTAAAGAGATCAATCAGGTGATACTTTTGTCCAAATCAGGTTCCCATCTTGTTATAGTTGTGTCACCAGGAGTGCTATGTCAACGGAAATTTAGTATGTTGATCACTTAAAAATCTGTGGCTATCCAATTATAACAAGAGGAAAGAAAAATAATGGTAATTGTATAGTGATGGGATTAATTTTTACATTAGATAATATATTTATAATGTTGGTGCTGTATTTGACACCATATACAGATCACACTATATAGTTAACGATATTAGGTGATCTTCATTTTAATAGTGATAGTCCTTGTAATTGGTTGTTATGCTAATCGTGCTATCCTGGAAAGGAAGGAAAATTTTACTAATTTGGTTAGCTCTTATGCGCTAAGTATAGGGTACGTTTTTATATTATTGATATTGATATTGATATTGATATTGTATTGAATTGATATTGAATTGATATTGATATTGATATTGAGTTG